TCCCCACTGCTCAGCGCCCCCTGCTGCCCCCCCGCTCCCCACTGCTCAGCGCCCCCTGCTGCCCCCCCGCTCCCCACTGCTCAGAGCCCCCTGCTGCCCCCACCGCTCCCCAGACCCCAGCGCCCCCTCCTGGCCCCCTGCCCTGCACCCCAGAGCTCAGCGCCCCCTGCTGGCCCCTTGCTTACCCCCTAACGCCCCCTAGCACCATCCTGGGGTATCGGCACCAGCCCTGCGAACCCCGTGCCCCGGTGGGATGGAGACGACACAGGTGTAACCATAGCTACGGCAGGGCCCCCCCACGGGACCCCCCGCTCCTGCTGGTTACCAGACTCCGTTGTTGGCAACATCTCCCGGGCGGCGGGTGTGGTACCCGCTGCCCCAGAGCAAACAAACTGTCTCCCCAGCCCTGGGCGCTAGGGGGCACCGGGCTGCAGGGCGCGGGACAGGGGCTCAGCGGGGGGGCTGGGCTATGGGGAGGCAGGAAGCGAGGGGCTCAACGGGGGTCTCGGCTATGGGGGGGCAGGAAGCGAGGGGCTCAGCAGGGGGGGCTCGAGCGGGGGTGGGGGGCTCTCCGCCTGCCTTTGATTCTCCTTCAGACACCTGCCCCCCAATGCAGACTGGGGGGGGGTCCCCCCAGCTCTTCCTGCCCCATCCCCACTCTTACTCTCACCCCCCCGGCTGGAAATGCGAACCAGGCCTCCCGCCAGCCTTTTCCCGGCCCCCTTGTCCCTTTGGGGGGAGCCAGGCCGGGCTCTTCCCTCATCCCCACTGGGATGTTGAGGTTACAGCCGCGTCCTGGGGTGTGCCACCCTCTGTCCCCCCCAAATTTGGGGTACCTACACCCCCTCTCCCCTTATCAACACCCCCAGGATGGACTTGCACACTTCCCCTTTAAATACAAGGGGTGGGGCGTGACAGCTCCAGCCACTTTGGTGTTTAAAGGGGTACACGGCCGCCTCCCAAAATGGGGCACTGTCCCTTTAAATTGCTGGGGGAGGGGAGAAATCAGCCTCCCCCCCAGATAGCTAAGGGGTGCGCGCCCCCCCCCAAACCAGATCCACTCCCATAGAAATCGGGGCACTGGCCTTCTAAATACATGAGGGCAAAAAATGTAGGGGGGGTCCCCTCTCCAGCCCCCCCCACCCCAGCTAGGACCCCCCCAGGGCAGCCCACGTGGTGGGGGCGCTCCGTGTTACCCCGTGTCTGACTCACCTGGGTGGGGGGCAGAGAGCAGGGGAACCTCCCGCTGTTGCTGGGAGGGAGAGATGCACAATGAGCCAGGACGGGGGGGGGGCAGCTCCTCCCTAGCAGCCCCCCCCCCGGGGATACTGGGGGGGGGTATGACGCACGTGCTCCCGGGGGGGGCACAGACGCTGCTAACAACCCAGCAATAACAACCGTGGCTCCGCTCCAGCTTCTGGGACTGG